CCCTCACTCTACAGCCAAAGAAACCCGGAGAAGTGAAATGACCTCCTGAGGTCACATCACTTGTTAGTGTCAAAGCCAGAACAAGAATGCAAGACACGTGACCTCCAGGCCACATTTGTGACCACTACAATACATAACGTCCAGCCCAACCAACCCACTGGTGGTAAATAAGCATGTACTCCATGCCAGGCACCAGGCTAGGGATTTTAGATACCTGCAACAGCTCCTTCCCTGAGGCTCTGAATATCACACCTTCTATGCAGATGAGAAAATAGTGTGAGGTACAGGTTGGTAAGGAGACGAGAAAGGGGATGGGCATTCAAGCGGCAGGTCCGGAGTGTCGGACCTTGAACCCTTTCATGTAAGACCTTCTGCCCGCATGCTCTGGAGCCGAGCTTTCCAAGTTTAGTCCTTAGTTAGCCACTTGGAGCTATGTGAACTCTCTGGGTGGCTTCTTTTTCTGTGAAATGGAGTCATAATAGTCCCTGCCTGTGATACTTACTGAGTTAGCTCCCCAAGAACCAGTCCCCTCTCCCCTTCCTTGCTAACAGACTCTGATTCTGGTTCCGGTGGCAAAGTGCCCTGACTCAGGAGATGTATCACATTTGGTCAGAGCCGATCTTGACCATACTGCTGTCCTTGGCCATTCACCCGCTTTCCTAGCCTTCGTCATATCACAGGTGATCAATAAAGCATTTGCAACAACACGTGTTCCCTAACAATAATGCAGAGCCTAGGAGGAGAAAGCCATTTGCCTGTGACCTCCTGCCTTTGAATGGGTGAGGTGTCTGGAGCTGCAGCTGCCATTCTGCAACCATGAGGTGAGAAACCTGAGGACCAAAAGCCAGCACCTTGAAGACAGAGGAATAGAAGGGTAGAGAGAAGCCCAGGCGAAGCAGTGAGGGAACACAGTGGGAACTGAAGGCATCAAAGAGCTGCTAAACTAGCCCTGGACTCCAACCTCCAGACTTCTTCCCACTAGATAAACAATAGCATCCTTATGGCTGAAGCTACCATAGCTGGGCTTGCTGTCACTTGAAGTTGAAAGCATTCACCACTAACCCAGTGCCTCAAAGGATCATTGAAAAGGCTGCACAAAGGATCGTTGAAAAGGCTGCACAGGTGGTATCAGCAGAGTGCCTGCTACATAGTAAGCAGTCAATATGTGGTACTTCTGTCAGTGGTGATCCATCTTGATTTTCTTATAGCTCCAGAGCACCTTTCTTAAAGCTCAAGAGAAGCGCCATCTTGAATAGGGGCTGGGGCAGCTGAGACCGGCTGGGCTGCATTCCCAGGAGGTTAGGCATTCTCAGTCACAGGTCACAATAAAACAAGATGTGGTAAAGAAGCTGGCCCAAACCCATCAAAACCAAGATGGCAATGAAAGTGGCCTCTGGTCATCCTCGCTGCTCATGATGTGTTAATTATAATGCATTAGCAAGCTAAAAGACACTCTCACCAGCACTATGACCGTTTACAAATGCCATGGCAGTCCAGAAGTTACCCTATGTAGTCTAAAAAGGGGGGAAACCCTTAGTTCCAGGAAATGCCTACCCTTTTCCCAGAAAACTCATGAATAATCCACCCCGTGTTTGATCAATAAATAACTCTAAGCACATTCATTCGAGCAGCCCATGCTGCTGCTCTGCCCGTGGAGTAGCTATTCTTTATCCCCTTACTTTCCTAATAAACTTGCTTTCACTTTACGCTGTGGACTTGCCCCTGATTCTTTCTTGCCTAAGGTCCAAGAACCCTTTCTTAGGGTCCGGCTTGGGACCCCTTTCTGGTAACACTTCCTTCCCCAGACCCCCTCTACCTGCCTCCTGACCCTGAGAATGAATGTCACAAAGCCCCTAGCATTCCTGATGTCAGTGTTCATGGATGGCTCTATGAATCAAAAGGGCAACAGGGCAGGACATGGAGCACCCTGGACAGGGAAAGGCATCCTGATGGGCAGCTCTGGACTTCAGGGCTCAACCTCGATGGGAAGAAGAGCCAGGCAGAGCAGATGAGCCAGGTGGAGCAGTGAGGGAACACAGGAAGGCAAGTGCTGGTGCCAGGGCCACCTTTGTCCACCTCCAGGACACTCACAGGGGGCTGCCCAGGGTTCCTACAAACAGAGCAGTTCACTTCATGCCCACGGTAGTACCCTCCATCTGCCACTGCTCCTGAAAGCCTTCCCTGATTAGCCACTAACAAAACTTCCTAGGCCCAGTGTCCTTACTCAACCTCTCTCCTCTCTGGGAACAAGCCTGGTCTGATACCTTGCTGAGTCAGCTGTTCCTTCGTGTGTGTGTGTGTGTGTGTGTGTGTGTGTCTGTGTGTGTGTGTTTCCTTCATTTTTCATCCCTCACTGCATTGCATTGGGGATCCTCAGAAAACAGAAAAATCCTTTTCCATCAATTGTACAAACTGCTGGGCTCTTGCCACTGTGAGAGTCCAACTTTCTTTGAAGAGTTAGCATTCCCCCACACAACGCCCCGCCAAAACAACAACGGACAGTGGTGAGAGCACCGGGCTGTGGGTCAGACACTTGTGTCCTTCCTAGTTCTGACATTGGTTTTCTCTGTGTCCTTGAGCAAGTCACTTTCCCTTTCTGAGCAGGCTTTTTCCAGTCCATAACGAGGGAGGCAGGCTGAACAATTCCAGGACTCCTTTCTTCTAGAAGATACTCTTCTAGCATCAGTGCCCTGGGGTTCTTTCCCAGTCCCTAAGAGTCTTGCAAGAGGGTGAGTTTCATGGTAAATTAATGCAATCCAGGAAATAGTACCGCCAGTCTTCAGACCCTCTTCCTGTCTACCTTCAGCCAGGGTGAGTTTTGGAAAGACCAACTTATTTCACTAACAGCTGGGACAGAATATGCTTAGGAAGAGAATTATGCAGCCACCACACTCCCCTCTTCCTCTCCAAAAAAATACATAAAAATCCAAAGCTAAATGCACCATAAGGGGCTTTGTTTTTACTATTCATTTTTGGCCTGGACAATTCAGAGCTATCTGCTTTTCCACTTTTGTTATTTTAGGATTATTTTCCAGCTGCTTGGGGAAAATTTCCAATCATGCCCATTAGGACAGAAACAGAAGTAGCTGGCTCTTCTGAGAGGCTACGTCCACAGGGGTTGTGCCTGTGGAGGTTGGCAGTCCAGTGGCTGGGGCCCATCCTGGACAAAGGTCCTCATATCCTCAGTCCTTACTCTGACAGAGCTTAGGGGTGTAGGGGTGTGTGTGTGTGTGTGTGTGTGTGTGTGTGTGTGTGTGTACAGAGTTGTAAGAAAGTCAAGCCACAAATCATCAAAACCACTGAGGACTGGAAATGGAATAAAGGTACATATTGT